AAAAAAAAAAACCCAAAGAAACAGGAAAATGACCCCAAAAAAGTGAGAAATTGAGGGGGAAAACCAGAAAAATGAAAGAAAGCAGAAAAACGAGGGAAAAATCTTAAAAAGTCAGAGAAAAAATTTAAAAAAGGAAAGAAAAAAAGCAGAAAAATGTGAGAAGAGAAAAAAGCAAAAACATGAGGGGAAAAAGCAGGAAAATTAAGAAAAGAGCAGAAAAATGAGAGAAAAAAGCAGAAAAATAAGGGAAAAAAAGCAGAAAAATGAAGAAAAGAGCAGAAAAAATGAGGGAAAAAAAATCAGAAAAATGAAAGAAAAAAGCACAAAAATGAGGGAAATAAGGCAAAAAAAAAGAGGAAAAAAAGCAAAAAATGAGAGAAAAAAGCAGAAAAATAAGGAAAAAAGAAAAAAATGAAAGAAAAAAGCAGAAAAATAAGGAAAAAATTTCAAAAAATGAAAGAAAAAAGCACAAAAATGAGGGGAAAAAAGCAAAAAAAAAGAGGGAAAAAATTTCAAAAAATGAAAGAAAAAAGGAAAATGAGGGGAAAAAAGCAAAAAAAAAAGAGGGGAAAAAAGCAAAAAAAATGAAAGAAAAAGGCAGAAAAAAGAGAGAAAAAAGCAAAAAAGTGAAAGAAAAAAGCAATAAAATGAGGGGAAAAGGCACAGAAATGAGGGAAAAACCAGAAAAATGAAGAAAAAAAGCAAAAAAAAGAGGAAAAAAGCAGAAAAATGAGGGAAAGGGTCAGGAAATGAGGAGGAGGAGGAGGAGGAGGGGAGGAGGAGGAGGAGGGGAGGGGAGGAAGGCCCGACCTGCTCGTAGATGTCGATGGCGCGCGGGAACTGCTCGAGCTGCGCCGCGTACGCCGCCACCTTCAGCAGGCACTTGTTGGCTGAGCTGGGGGTGGGAGAGGGCAAAATTCCCAAAAAAACCAAAATCCCAAAAATCCCACCCGAAAAACCCCAAAAATCCCAGCTGAAAAAACCCAAAAATCCCAGCCAAAAAACCCCAAAATCCCCCAAATCCCAAACCCAGCCACCTTCAGCAGGCACTTGTTGGCTGAGCTGGGGGCGGGACAGGCAGGGGCCAGAATTCCCAAAAAAAACCAAAATCCCAAAAATCCCACCCAAAAAACCAAAATCCCAGCCGGAAATCCCAAAAATCCCAGCCAAAAAACCCAAAAATCCCAGCCAAAAAAACCAAAAATCCCAGCCAAAAAACCCCAAATCCCAAAAATCCCACCTGCAAAGACCCAAAAATCCCTCCCAAAATCCCACCCGAAAAACCCCAAAATCCCACCCAAAAAATGGCAAATCTCACCCAAAACCCAAAAATCCCACCCTAAAACCCCCAAAATCTCAACCCCAAAAAACCCCAATTCCCACTGAAATCCCAAAAATCCCACCCCAAAAACCCCAAATCCCAGAAATCCCCCCCAAAAACCCCCAAAAATCCACCCCCCCACCCCCCCCCCCCCCCCCACGCCCCCCCCGTC